TGACACCGCCGGGAATATCTCGCCGCGCCCAATCGCCGAACGCGCCGCAGAGGCCCGCCCGCCGCTCCCACCGCCCGATCTCGGTTGACGTGCGCCCGCGACCCAATCACGCACGCGCTGCTGCACCACCCGCTTGCTTCATCCTCATCCGTACGTCCGGCCCCATTGTACCGTCCCGCCGAAGGGCGCTGCCGTACAGTTGGACACCAACTGCTCCAACTGTTGGAGCATGTTAACATGACACCCCCGCAGACGCCGCAATTTCATTCGGTCACAGCTCGTGCGTGCGAGAAAAGGATAGGCCGCGGTGGAACCATGACGGGTGATCAGCCCCGCGGCCGCTTCCTTGCTTCCCCACTGTCGTGCTTACGCTCAATCTCTACTGCGCGCAATGCGTAAAAAGTACTTTTTGTAAAATACAGCATGCGTAGCGTGCCCCCGGAGAGATAAGGACAACTCTTTCTCGACGCTTTCTTCGTTTATGTGTGACAAACCCCCTCTCTGTGTCAGGCTGCCGCTGCGCGTTCTGCAACCCACAAGAAATCAAATCCCATTTGAAAATCATCACCCACAATATATCTCTCGAGAATTCAACTTGTCCCGTACACTTTTAATCTACTTCAGTCGCGTGCGTTACCCATTGCAAATTCCTTCCATGTTGCAATACTGTATCACGCCTATGCAATCCATAAGCATCCCCGCATACGTGCTCGATAACAAAAAATTACACCCGTCCAAACTCATCCCCGTGGGTGCGGCCAAACTTCAGTACACTACACGTGTACAAACAAGCAACCAGGAAACCTTACAGTCCTTTCTTCACAACCGCATTTGACTTGTACCGGCGCTTGATATCCAATACTGTACAGTTGTGTCAATTTGTGCAACGTGTACAGGTTTGCAGCATACAGAGCATGGCAGGATTGAATGGGATAGTTGTAGTTGGATGCATGAGGTACGAATTGATTAATCGAGGCAAGGGGCGCAAAGGACCAAAGGGTGCAAAGCAATCCCCATGCATGGGGTTTTAATTCACGTCTACGAGCTGTAGCGAAAAGCCGACAATTGCATTGTCGACCATTGTAAGCGAGAATGGTAATTGAATGCAGGAGCGACATGCTGTTCTCCTAGATAGTGAGGTATATGGAGCGATAGAGACACCGGAAGCACCGGAGGAAAGGAAGCAGGGGAGAGAGCAGAGGTGAAGAGCAAATACAGTACAGAGAGTAGCATACTCGGGCTTTTGTGCCTTCCGTACTCGCCACCAAGGACAGAACTGCTCCTACACTGCGCGCGACACCAGCATGCCTCAGCTGGTTCCCACAGTTATGGGCCCAGGAGCAGATTCTGCTCCAAACAGCCTATATGACCCGCCAAAACTTCATGCGAAAACCGACAAGTTCATGTGGCGTCAAGCCGTGCGTATTTGGGCACAGAAAATACGGTCGTTCGCAAAAGGCGGAGACAACAAAGCCAAGGGTATTGCGAACAGTCTAGGGATTACACTGTACTCAGCCATGGACTACTCATTCATCCAAGTTATCGATAGCGCCACTACAGCTGGTGAGCTCAAGCTCGTTTCGGACGACGATGAAGATAATGATGCTGTTGATCAGAAAGCTGTTATCGAAAAAATCATCCCGCTAGTCGCAAAGGATTCTGTTACAGATGGAGTGCGTAGACTGGTAAAGATGAGCCAGAACATTCATTCATGCAAAAGACAGGAGAATGAGACATATGATTCATTTGCAGAGCGCTTTCGTGGTGTTGCTCAGACGTATCTTAATCACTGCCATGCCGGTGATACATCTCAAGATAGCCAAAATTTTGCGATGCTCCTCCTCGAGAACGCCAACTTACCATCTTCCACCTTCAATAACATTGTCAGTATCCTTATCGCGGATGCAAAAGATAAGAGTTGGTCGACCGTCAAGTACTTCAAAATTACAAAAGAAAAGTTTCCAGCAATTGAGAATAGTTTTGAGAATGCCATCGACATGTGGAAAAAATCCCTCACGGATCAAGTTTCCAACGAACAGCAATCTGTTGCCTCTCAAAAGGTCCAGGAACTATGGGATGCGCACAAACTCAATATCACGACCGCAAAGACGAACAAATTTCGCTATGATACAGACGAAAGGGCCCCATATGCTATATGCTTGAATGATGCAGTAGCCGCTTTGAAAGATGTGAAGTCTCAGGACATCACGCAAGACCAAAATCTGAAACCACCATCACACACACCTGCCGCCTCAGCCTATAACAACGCTGGCCGCCATGACGGAGGACGTTCCGGCACGATGATGACGAAGCGCCACTCCTATAAAGGTCGCAATGTCAGTATGACGTACGAGCCATCCGGTCCGAGATTTAAGTTCAAAGCACGAATCCCCGCCAATACAGGTCCCAAAAGCAATACGCGATGCGTAGACTGCGGTGAACTCGGCCACTGGAAAAATGACCCCGAATGCAAGACCCGCAGAGACCCTAAGCGTATATGATTCGATACGGACAGAGTGAATAATGACGCTTTTAAACCTAGCAGTCAA